CTCATCCGGCTCATCCCGCCGGTCGGACGCGCGAGACGGAGAGGCGAGACCGCGCGCGGGAATGGAAAAGAGAAGGACGCAAAAGTGCGCGGGCCAGGGGGAAGAGGGACGGAGGACGCCGACACATTATAAGCGCGGGCTAATATGAATTACACGGGCGCGATGCTATAGGGGTGTGTGCTCGTGAAAATAACTCCGCGCAACGCGCGCTTTGTGCACGAACGGAACGTCGGCGTCGCGTCGCGTCGCGTCGCGTCGCCTCGCGTCGCCTCGCCTCACCTCGTCGCGATGGCGCATCCATCATTCCGGCAACCGGCTATCTTTCCCCGACGATATGTATGCGAGATAGAGGAGAAAATACGAAAATACGGCCGGCCTCAACAAAATCTGTTCGCGACAGCATTCATCTGGCAAGAATCAGTGTCGATTAACTTGAACCGTGACGTCCAACTATCTTCCCGTCTTTCTAGTAACACAAGCTAATTATATCCATTCAACATTTGGCACCTTTTTAGGGGGGGGGGGGGGAAACCTTGAATGAAATTTATCTTAATGACGTGATTTAATTGGCTTATTGTATAAAGTTGGGAAAGGATTACGTTTTAAGACTATATTTTGTATCTGTTAAATCTTTATGTTTGCGAACATTTCATGTTGCAACTTTTACACGGAAAGAAGTAAAGATCTCTACGGTTATCTAAAAGCTTCACTTATATAAATACAGATCTGAAAATAATTTCGTTTCTATCAAAATATTACAATTATGTAGAATGCTTAAGCGCGGTTAATGACAATGTTGTAGAAAGTTTTCACATTTTGGCAACTGTTTTGAGCGTCCCACAATTATTTTGATCCAAACAAAATTATTTTCGAATCCGTATCTAGCTAGATTTTTTTAAGTACTTTTAAGTGTGTAGATTTTATTGTCTCGTGAAAAGATATATATTTACTAAAGTAATTTATCGATAGGTACATGAAATATCTGTATCCGTATGAGAAAGACAAGGAGGGGCTGTCGACCCAAGAACAACTCCAGACGGCGATCGAGACAAATCGTCGTGAGAGCCGCAGAAACAATTACGCGGCTTACCCTGACAATCAAGTAGCGCGAAACCAGCACAATTCGCTGCAGCCAAATCCATTGCCGTTGCCGCTCTCCATGGCGGCCCAAATAGCGGCGGTTGCGAATGAATCGCAACATCATGTAAATGGACATCCACACGGCCCGCAACATCATCCGCAACATCTTCCACCAAATCTGAGTAATCTCCCACCTAATCAGAGTAAGATTTTTGTCTTGTTCGAAGACGAAAATTTTAATCACACGAATTTTGTTGCATTAAAATTGGCGTGAAATTTTCATTCTCCGCACGCATCGTATATGTTGGACGTTACTGCACCGAAAGGAAAGGTCGAAGATATGGCTGAATATGGCATAGCATTTTTATTAATTAGACGCAGCGCCCAATTTTTCCTTGCACTAGCCTATCGAAATCTTATATTGACATATCGTAATCAAAAATTGGCCGCTGCAATAAAAAATTAGCTGCTGCAGCTAATTAAAAATGCTATTCTATATTTTACCATCTAATTGGCTGCAGCAGCCAATCTTTTCTTTCAGTGTACTATTGTACTATAAAGTATTATAATTGAGAACTTCGGTTCTATCTGATTCGGCTCTGTATGATACTTTTCCAAATGAAAGGCAATTCGTAACACGCTCCATATCAGGAATAGAAACAGAAAAAGAGTACAGGAAAGAGCAAAAATGAGAGACTTCCCGACGGTAGGGAAGATATCAGGGGACGAGATAGAAAAAATGGTAGAAGGAAACGGGAGGAGGTAGAGCGTACGGGTTTATTTTAAATCGGTAGGTAGTGCTTCGGGCCTCCCCGGAGATGATGATGCGAGAGCGAAGGAGGCATAATTGATTGTACGATCCTCCGGAAGACAGGCGTTAACGGATGGCTCTCGCTAACGAGCATTCCTATTTCCCTACCCTTTCCTTCTCTCTTTCCACCTCGTCGCTGCGCCTGACAACGATCCCAGTAACGTCGCGCTTCGATCGCACTCTCGATCTGCTCTCTTTCGATCGTTTCCTTGTGCGACATGATCGGATGTTCAGTGGATATATATCCTCATTATAATAGCAATATTGCTACTTATCGCGGTATGAATAATCATATGGTATCAAATGAATACTCAGAGGTCAAAATATCGTGATATTTTTAACTGATCCATTCATCATAAATATTGCATTTTAATGTATCGCTCATTTGTACATAAAGCACGAAAATTTACTAATGTAATTTTCACGATATCGGTGATTATTCGTTCGAACTTTGAATTTTGCACGAAACACTATAAAACGATCAAGAATTAATTTGTTTAAATAAATAAGTTCTCAATTATTTTATATATATAATTTATACAGATGTTCGATGGAATTATGCGATTAAGCGAAGCTTCATCGCTTTAACTTAACATGATGAGCAGTCAGTTAAAGAAAAATTTGCTATAAGATTCAGTGGTTTTATAATATATGTATATATTTGTTTCAGAATAACAGAATAACGAAATCAAAGCCTGATAATCCAATGACATTCCAGATGATTAGGAAATTCATCTATATCAGATGTTTAATGAATTGTTGTAATGTTTGCATTGCAATCGGACATCATCGCTTTTATGCAAAACTTTTATTTTAAATTTTACTTTAAAAGCTAATTAATTTGAATTTTATTTACTTTTAAAGTAATTTGTACAATTCGGAGGTTGATGAAACTTTATAGTGGCTCACTGTCTTTACACGAATGGTTCAAAATTAAGATGTATTGATTTTTTGACAATGCTAAAAATAACAGATTTTTAAATTAAGAGACAGTGCATGGAAAACAATTGCCGATTGATCGCCTCATAAAATTTGAAATTATTTCACGCATTTCAGTTATTTATTTAATTTATTTTTAGCCGCATGATTCTGTACAGTACTTTAACTTTATGTTTTCAGAACTCTCGCGAACAGAATGAAAACTTCTATATTATATTATATTTTATTATATTTTCTATCCTAAAATAATCTCATTTTCTATTAAGTTACAAATTATTTTAATATTATTCTGCATAAGTAAATATAGAGACTCGCGAAGAGAATAATCATTAAATGATATGAGTTTCATCCATATTATACATCCATGTTTGGAATTATCAAGAACATTTAACTAAGGAAATTGCTCCAAATATCTATCCTTAATCCTTAGTGCACACAATAATTTACACATGTCATTTATATCCTAGGCTAATTTTTATCACTTTTACAAATATACAAAAAATAATAAGTGATTTTTACATAAATTTTAACATTTTTAGAAAGAGAGAGAGTATTCATAAAGTTGTGTATTTAAAAAAATAGAGAAAGGATAGATATAATATTATTTAGCTAAGTGTTTCTTAGTATTTAAAAACAAAAAAAAAATACGCAGGACACAAATGATCAAATCGTACGTATTAAGAGTTAATTTATTAATTATCATATCACACTTCCAATATCGAGTACGTATAGTTTCAGACTATATGCTGAGGATGTTGAGGGACAGAAACCCAATATCCAACAATCCGATGATTCAAGGTGGCACACCGCCACCGCCACCATCAATGACTGAGGGATTCAAATCCGGACTTTTATGGAATATGTACAGTCCAGGTAATAATAATATGTATCCAGTGACCCAACCTTTCTCTCCGTCATCATCTCACTCACCATTAGCACCAGCAAATAGTCCTGAACCACAGAGGGAAGCCTTAGATCTTGCAAATTCTGGAAACAGGTAAATAAAATCGAATTTAATATTGACGAGAGAAAAAGATTAGTTTAAGTTTAAGCAAAAGAAAATTCGATTCATTGGACGGTTTCTTTGCCAACTCTTAGTAGATGTGTCGGTTCACCGGCATGTGGAGGAGAGCTGAAAAGAAATCAAGAAGCTATCGAACTTTCATCTCCAACGTCCTCCACTAAAAAATTCTGTCCCGATGTGGAAGGAAATAACATAGTGCCCGCCTTGCGTATTAGACAAATGGTCAACACTCGCGGTAAGCCTAGAGATAGAGGTTTAGATTCTCAAATTATTGATATATGATATAATTTTCGTTTAAAAAGATTAAATCGGTATACATTATTCGCAAATAAAAAAACTATTTATTATAATAATTTCTTTTTCTTTTTAGATTCTGCAAGACGAAGAGAATTAGAAATTAGTGTAGAAATTGATGGTATTTTGTATGAAGGTGTCCTGACAGTTAAACAGGAAGTCAATAGTAATGGCAGTACCTCGTCAAGCCCCGATAATAATGGAAAACGGGCACAAAATAACGACTCATGAACATTTGCAAGATGTCATACGAAACATGATGTCATACGAAACAAATTAGCCTCGCAGAGTCTAATTAATAATTTTGTTTTTCAGATATATATAAGACATTCAGGTAACTACAACAGACATTTTAATAAATACGAAATAAAATAGAGAAATGAAAGAAAAATCTTCCAGTATTTACATTACAAGATTTTTAATTGTATTTTTTAATGTTTCTTTTTAAAGTTTTTATATGAAAATAGGTTTATATTAGAAAATTAATCTTTTTCGAGTATGATCTGAAAATGCAGCTACGTTTTAATTGGAATCGAGTTTCCTTACATAATATCGTAAATTTCCCTATCATTTTGAACATTATCTGAATGATAATGTCTATTATGTCTATTTGAATGATAAAATGCCTATTATGTCTATTTGAATATCTCGAGTGTGATTGAAAAACAAAATTATTGCGCTCGGAACTTAATAGTCCCGAATAGTTCCATATAGTATATGTAATAGCTTCGCTAATTAACTTTTCCACATAGGAATTTACAAAATAAAAACAAACGCGCCATAATTAGGTGTAAATAATTAACAAACGCGAATTGACTTAAATGAATTGCACATACTCCAATTTTTATTATAGATAAAAATTTATAAATCGTTTGTAAGGAATTTAGATATTTTTATTGGTATTGAGATATTAGTGATCTTTTTTACCAAAGTGAGATTTGTTTATAAATCGAATAGGTAAGATATAATGTGATATTAGATACAGAATTAAATGTAACAATTATGAATATATGTTTGTAAATGCTTTTGTAAGAGATTTTGTGACTAACATGTATGTACAGGATGCATTAATAGTGCGTAGTAGTTTTGTGCGCTCACATTTAACAACCAAATATCATTATAATGTAACACCTTTATCGTTCATATAATTTATCGTTCAATTATAAGCTCCAAATATGGTTGTTACTACTATTAGATTACTTAATGATAATTCAACTACTACATGAAAATCCAAAAAATTGATGAATTGTATGTTGTAAAGTATTCTCCTGTAAATGTATCGGACACTATTAATGTATTCACTTGTACTTTCAAATACATTTTGACTATATAATAGATTTCTATTATCGGAGTATGTGCAACCGGAGTATGAATATATACTATACGATATGTTTATTTTGTCTATAAACTGTACAAATTTCTGATGAAAATTTTTGATATAACTTTAAAAAAGTTTGTCAAATTTAGTAACAATTATAATAATTGTTGACAATGAATTAGACATTGTCATCTTGAAATACAGATAGATTAAATGTTGTAAATATCATTTTTTGCTTTTATGCTCTTATATATTTTTTCTATTACTATTATTTTAAATAGTTAGTGTTTATATTTTTTCTTATAAACGAAAAACTAATGGCAAATAGCATTTTTAATCCTGTGATACAATTGTATCCGAATTAAATGATTCTGAAAGCAGGGGACATTTCCTTGTTTATTTTATTATAAATTTCACGTTTGTAGATATGCGAGGATTAAAAATATTTGCTGTGCCATCGTATTCTCTCTTCATTAGAAAAATGCGGAGATATTGATTTATATAAAAGATGTACATATCATTTTTATATTAATTTAGGTTATTTTATGCGTATATTTTAAGATCATTATTATAAATCAAACTTTTTTAAACGATAGATTCTTTAAATGTATTTGATGAGCTTTTTTGTTAGAGATGACTAGGTTACTGATATAGAAAATACTGTGCGTACATATAATAATGGATGAATTTCTTTTTTTGTATTTGCATTATCTACTTATATGATATTTTAAAATTAATACTATCACATAAAAATTTAAGAAGCTTTCTTAAGAAATGTATTTTTCTAAATTTTTTCTTTCACGTACATGTTATATCCCAGGTAGCAAAGTGCTGTATATTTAACGTCATTAAATAGTCATTCTTATGACGAATGATGTTTAAAATAATGTCTAAATATCGTAAAAATTACGTGATTTGTCACAGGTACATAAGTCGACGTTAAAAATAAACAAATGTATGTTTGATTTACAATACATACGATTCATTTAAAATATTAGGAAATACGCATAATTAATTTCGCAATTTTTCAGATAATTATCAAACATCTCAATGTATTCCATTTTTTAAATGTCTCTACGCGCCAATGTCCTTTATATCTAAATTAAATAGTAAAAGGAATTATATCTCTTGTATATTATGTGCAATCAAAACTCATTTACATTCGTTTTTCTAACATGATGAAAAATGAATATTTTTATAAATTATTTTTTTCGTCGTCTATCTGACGTCATTAATTAGTTATTCTTCTGACGAATCTATATGGTTCCTGAAACGAAATGAAAATTACAAAAATGAACAAATTTGCTAAATGTTGAAGTTATAAATTCTAGTAAATTAGTTTCAATTACTTTTGCAATTTCTACCTTATTTTGAGAACCATAATAAGCTCCTATCGCTAAACATCGTAAAAAACACGTGAATTTGTATGTTATCACTCATACCATGTTATAAATTGACATTATTTTATATTATTAACATTATTTTCGTGTTATTAATGGAATCAATGTATTAATTGATCACTAATAATGTTACTAGTACATGGACGATTGGCATTTATTCGATGTTAAGTATGACATTGTAAAGATGTCATAATAAATAAATGACATTAATTGTGTAGTCAAAAAGATAATATCATTATTACATTAAATCTCAAATAGGTCATATGACGTCAATAATTAAAAATGACTAACTATCGACGTTAAAATAACGACAGCTTGCTACCTGGAATTTCGTAAAGAATAATTAATTACAAGCAAATGTCATGACCATCGAATTTCAAGTATACAATCAAACTATTGAATACTGAAATTGATTCCGCAATCATGTTAGAACAACGAATGTAAATGAGTTTTGATTGTATATATACAAAAGATATAATTCCTTTTACTATTTAATTTAAATATAAAGGACACTCGTCGCTGTTTCAATTTTGGCGCGTAGAGAAATTTCAAAAATTGAATACATTGAGATGATGTTTGATAATTATCTGAAAAATTGCAAAATTAATTATGCATATTTCCTAATATTTTAAATGAATCGTATGTATTGTAAATCAAACATACATTCGTTTATACTTGAATAGATATGTACGTATTGTGAATCTCTCTCTTTTTCTCTCTATTTCTCTTTCTCTTTCTCTCTCTGAATGTAATTAAGTATAATGCATTTTCGTAGTTATTAAGATAAATTTATTAGTTATAAAGGTTAAAAGTAGTTATAAAGGTCATCAATTCATAAAGATAGCACACTGAAAGAAATAAATGATAGGAATATGTGAATTCTGTCTACATATTTGGTATTATTCGATGCATAATGTTTGTATATGTACGTGCTAGAATATCTGACAAAAATAATTCCTACAAGATTTATATAATACATGTTAAATACAAATAAAACATTTTTAGTCACGGTCATCGCAGAATGTATTTAGCAAACGTATTATAAAATGAAATAATGGTAGAACAATAGCGAGAATCTATCGCAAGGCTGTAAGAACTAGGATGCGAAGATATTGTCAAGTCGTACAATTTTTCAGAGAATAGAAACTCTGAGAGATTCCTAGGTTCTATATATATATATATTATGTATATATAAAGTTTTACCAAAAAAGACTGTATAGTTTTAAACTTACACTTTAGAATTTTAAGTCGCGAAATTATAAGTAGTAATTTTAAGTTAGTTATTACATGTATTATGATATCGTCATTTATTACATTAAGTCCTGTGACATAGGATTTTTTATAGCTTGTTCAGATTATAGAAAACAGTTTGCTTAGTATTTTTCAAATATATTTCGAGATATAAAAAATTGAAAATTACTTGTATATCATTACATTCTGCGCACAAATTCGTACGCAAATGAGAGATCAAGTAATCTCATTTTACGTAATGTTTTTATTATTTCTTTTTTTTATTCTCGTACATTTTACAGCGCTAATAAAAATCGATTTTAGAACCTTACAGTTTCAATTTTGATAGTCACAGACATATTGAGATGTAGAATTAAAATATTGAATTTAAATGTAAAATGATTCTGTCTTGGCAAAATGTTACATTAATTGGCCAGTTCTGATATTAACGCTAGGAATTAAGAAAAAAAATATCTTTTATTTTATCTTTCTCTCTGCTAAATTCAATAAGCAGGAAGAATTTTTCTTATTCTGTCCATACGTTTGGACATTTTATATGTCTACGTTTATCAAAATGAAGCTACACGTATATATTTCTATTTCGAAATATGCTAAGGACTTACTGCTACATAAAAAAAAGAATTACTAGAATAGTTGTTAGAAAATATCATATTTAATGTCATAAGGATATTAGTAATACTATCGTTATTGTAATATTATCACATTTATTATTACATATGAATCGTTATGATGTGAATAATAATAACGAATTAAAATAACGTTTCGTAACATTTTTTTATTTTCCATTTTGCATGTTGAGAACCATGTAATATATGTATTATGCATAAATAATTTCAAAAGTTAGAACATTAAATATTGGAGTATATTACTGGATAGATTTATTAAAGTATTATGATAGGATTGAGCGCGTTAATAAATGCGCTTAAGAGGAACGGGATTTTGTTTCCCCAACAACTTTCTATTTAAATATTTTATTTGAATAACGTAATCAAATAACTAAGATATTTTTTTTTTCGAAGTTCGGGGAAGTAGCAGAATCAATTCTCGTGTCGTATCGAAATATTTATTTCCAACTTTCTTCTAAACGATGACGTAATCAAATTCATACTATTATTTAACCAATTGTTTACGCCTATTGTTACTCTAATATTAAACGTTTCATTTACTTATTATTCAATACAATATTATATTCTATTATGCTAGTTTAAACACTTCATGCATATGATAATGTGGTAACATTTCACTAAATAATATGGTGACAAATTGCAACCATTCGTACTTATTGTTTCCTTCACAATAGTGTGAGATATATTATAAATTAATTCATTAATTAAATTAACCGACTCAAATGGCAAATTTTCTAGCATTTTAC